TCATTATTCCCTTTTTTTCAGACAAGAAAACTGAGGCATAGAAGGGTCGAGTGTTCTGCCCAAAGTTACATATCTAGAGAGTGCAGAGCCAGAATTAGAGATCAAGCCACCTATGGGCTGCCTCTAGGAAAGAGAACTCATTGGTTAAAGGATTAGAATGAGGAGGGAGATACCTAGTTTTATGCTTCTTTGTACCTTTTGGATTCTGAATTATATAAATGTGATATATATTACGGGCATAAAAGAATAAAAATTTAATAATAAAATATTTTAAATGAAATATAAAATTTTAAATTAATTTAAAAAATTACACCAACCCAGAGATTCAGTAGGATCAAGGTGGTTAATAGCACAGATTGAGGGCCAGACCACCTGGATTCAAATTCTGCTTCTGTCACTAAAACCGGAACAAATTTGGATCCCCTCTGTGCCTCTCAGGGTATTATTATTTTGGGGATTAGATAAATTAATATGTGTGAAGGTCTTAGAAGAGTGTTTGATACATACTCAGTGCTAAGTATTAGCTATCATCATCTAAAATTAAAAACTTAAACCTACTCAACAGTCAGTATATACTGAGCATTTACTGTATACCAGGCACTGGATATGTACCAGGCACTGAAGGGGCCATGAAACTGTACGATGGCATCCGTCAGTGGTGGAGTCAGAGGTTCTGGGCACTGGGTAGCCTCTTGCTACTTTGGTGGTACAGCTGACACCCAGCCCCAAAAGTCTTCCCCAGGCTTGTTCCTTTATCAAATCTTATGCCTCACTGAACACCCAGCAGGAAGTATCATAACTAGTTGATAGCTTCTCTGCTCTTATTTACACTCATGTGACATCTTTTCCAGGAAGTACGAGATAATTTTACTGTAGTTTATGAAAAACATCACTAACTGAAGCTGTTTTCTCCGCTGTACTTGGCCTGGCTGAGCTCATCTGTGTAGCAAGTCCACGTAGACCGTATTGAATACATACGTGCTGGGTGCATGCTAATTTCTAATGCTACTTTAAGAATATTTCACAATAACCCCTTGCTTCATTGTTGTTACAGAAAGGCAGCACATCCAAGACTTTGATGGTAATAGACAATATTCTCTTTATGTAAGCTCCATGAGGGCAAGAATTTTGTCTCTTCGTTGTTATATCCCCAGTATTTACAACAAGGCCTAGTATGCAGTTGGTGCTTAACAAATACTCATTGAATGAATGAATGAATAAAATAATGAGAGAACCCACAAGGCAAATGCTGTTAACTTCACTTAAGAGTAGAGGAAACTGAGACCTAAGGGGTTATTTGCCCTACCCTGGGGCCATAGAACTAAAACACATCCCCAGTTTTGTGTGGTTTTGGATCCTACCCTTTTCTCCTAATGCCAAATTGAATCCTACCAATAACCTCTGGCTTAATCTAGAAGAATAGAAAGGGCTGTATTATCGCACGTGGGTTTGGTTTGGTTGTGCTGTCCTTTCACAGGATCAAGAATTTGTTACCACTATCCCCATGTTCTGCAGTGCTTGTGTGTAGGTCACCTTTTGCCCCAGGCATGCCCCTTACCTCCACGCAGAGAAAAGACAGGTGCTGTGGAGGAGGGACAGAATTTGTGAACTAAAGCAACAGAACAGAGGCTTCTAGAAGTCCCAGAACTATCCCAGCACTGAGAATTAACATTCAGGCAAAGGGAGAGTGCAGACTTCAGCAAGGCAACGATTTCTGTTTACTTTGATCGCTGATGAACACCAAACTCCTAGATTATCATTTGGGACTCAGTAACTATTTTTTTCAAGGAACGAGCAATAAATGAATAAGAGAGTGGATGTGGAAGAGGGGAAAATGGAAGAAGGTGAACAAGTACAAGAGAAAGGGAGAGATGACTGTCTAAAAGAAGAAGCATATAAATCTTAGGGGTTGGTAAATACTTTTTTTTCTTCTGTTTTCTGAAGGATGCATTTTACTGGCACAAAGAAAAAAGTTGGGCTGAGAGACTAAAGACAGTTTTTGTTTTGGAATTACACACCTTAGTTCTAGCTCATTTCCATAGCTGAAATAGTCAATTTGGATATTCACCTACCTATCTCTTTATGCCTAACTTTCTACAAATTGAAATGATTTGCCATGTATTGGTGAACATCAGAGAAGGGGTCATAGGAAAAACTAATGAGAAGGAATAATAAATCCTTTTCTGTTATTTGATGAATGATTTTGAAGCTCCCACGTGGATTTGGGTATATTAGTCATCAATAGCATGACCAGTAGGAATGTTGCTCAATTTGTAAATAATATTTGCCTAAGTGCGCTTAATCACAGGCTTCTGTGTCCAAAGATTGTTTCACTATTGCTGCATGACTTTTCTCCCTGCGGACTGCCTGTGAACCAGGATGTCTAGTTCTTGAGCTGTGTCCCATAGAGGTTAACTATCCCATTAGCCCTGCAGGCCAAGTGGAAGCTCATGTAAAACTCCTGGGCCAGAGAGTGGGACTGCATGGGACACCACCAACAATCATTATCTTTGGATAGAAGTCAGTGTCATGTTCAGCCTTTAGCTCTACTTGACCAAAATCCTATCATACAGCAGTGGGTTGCTTTTTCCAGCTGTGCTAATCAGAAGAGTTTTTCCATGGTACCAGGTTAAAGAGCAGAGAGCTTAAGAACAAGTCAAGTAATATAGCCAAGAGGTAGCCTCTAGGTTGGCAGGGAGGTGCTCTGGGCTCTGGTCCCAGCTCTGATCTGGACTCTGTGTGACTCCAACAAAGGCTCTTTACCTCTTTCCTGGAAACAAGTGTGTTTGTTGGAAAAGAAGAAGAGCACATTGAGCCCTGTCTAGAGAACAACAGAATTCATTCTTTGCTGATTTACTTCAGTGACCAAGACCAGTTCTACCATTTGTTAAGTGGACACAGACCTTCCTACTGAGATGACAGAGATAATTAGTGATTCGTGAACTCTGGCAGTGTCCTAACAGTTCCTAAGCATTCTCATTAGGCTGCTTTGAATGGAGATGAAAGAAGGTGAAAAAGACTGAAAAATTTTTTAATCTGTCACAAAGACCACCATTCAATTGAGAATAGATACTGAGTTCTTGTCTTTTAATTTGATGTCCAAAATTATTTGTTCATACGACCACAGGTGATTTGCTGAAGAGAGTCATGCTTGCTGACAACTACTTTGCTTAGAAATACGCCCTGTGCTCCCATTTCAAATATTGCGTCAGTGAATAAGAAAGAAAACATTTCATTGAAAATTCCCTTGTGTTTTCCACTCCATCACTCCTATGATTAATTTTCTTCATGAAGAACGGGGTGTCACCAAAATTTCAAAAATGTTTTCCATGATACAAAGGCTAATTTTTCTGAGACTTTTTATCTTGAATCACCCAAGCTAACTTCCAAGTGCATTTTTATGTAGTTTTGGAAGTATCTTCCTCTGCTTTTCATTACATTTTCCTAATTTTTGCCAAACTGATTTTGAAATGGTAAGAAAATCTAGTGACTTCAGAATCAATTAGTGTCTGGCCAAATTTGTCAGGCAAGCAGATTCACAGTAATTTATGTTATAGAATGTCTTTTAATGTGTGTTAATCGCATGTAAACAAGGCACTTGTATGCAGAACAAACATTTTTGTAGGGAAGTAATGTGATTAATCCATCTATGACTTGTTAAGAGTTTTTGAGACGTCTCAGTCTGTCCTATTCTTTTCCTCAGTCCCTTCCCACTGTCTGGAGATGATTGAAAATACTGTCTCCCATCTGTTTTCAAGGTCTTGAAATTATAAAATTACAACATTGTGCTTTTCTGTTTTTGAGGATAAATACTTCAGTAGTTGATGGCATTCAGTAGTGAAAAATACCAGTCTTTTCTTTTTTTAAAGATTTTATTTATTTATTTGAGAGAGAGAATGAGAGCAAGCATGAGAGGGGGGAGAGTCAGAGGGAGAAGCAGACTCCCCGCCGAGCAGGGAGCCTGATGTGGGACTCGATCCCGGGACTCCAGGATCATGACCTGAGCCGAAGGCAGTCGCTTAACCAACTGAGCCACCCAGGCGCCCAAATAATACCAGCCTTGTAGTTGGTCCTGTCCTCTTACAGTCAATAGTTTGAGATAGTCCACAATTTAAAATTTAAATTTTTAAATAAAATATTTATATTAAATAAATATATAATAAATATTATAAATATAAATAAAATAATAAATATATAAATAGAAAATATATATAATATAAAATAAATATAAATAAATAAAATATTAATATTAAAGTTATATATTCATGTAAATTATTTATATTAATATTAAATAAATGCCTTCTCCCCAGTTTATACTTATCAAGAGGAAGTGGCATCCAACTCCATGTCTGCTTGCAGAATGCACATATGTAGAGTTACAAGGCAAGTTTTAATATGTCTAACTTTCTATTTGCAGTCAGTGATTAGATTTATTTAATTTTGGCCCAAATGAGGAAGTTATAGAAGTGGAAAGAGAAAAGAGACATCATTTCACATGCACATCAGCTCATTGATACCCTTGCACATCTGGATCAGGGGCAGACTTTTGTTTTGGTTTGTCTCACTTTGCCTGTTCTAGATGCTGAATAGCAAGGCAAGAAAGAGGTAAACTGTAGCCCTGAGTGTATCTAAGCTTCAAATCATTCCAAATTAAAGTGAGTTTTATTTAATCCTTTTCTTCAAATGCTGTGACAAAGCAAGTAGCCCTTGCCAGTTGTGTTGATGGTAGGGAGATAGCAAAGAAAAGAGAAGAAAACAGATGTTATAGAAGAATTTTCATGGTCACTCAGGGAAGCTTACCCTTGTCATCCCTCATTCTCTCATTATCTTTCTTAAATGGAACCTAAAATAACACGATGATGAACTAGGCCCACGAATGAGCCTAGTGGACTCTCACCAAAGAAGACTTTGTGGACCAGGGACTCAATGGGAACATTTCAAAGACCGTTCCATTGAACTAAAGCCTGCATCTTCCCACTGGCTCTGACTTGGCTACTTACATCTTGGTTACTGTACTCTTCTTAGAGAAAACTTTTTCTTAATTTTCTTTTTTTTCTTGACAAATGGGACATTTTGGTAAATAGGAACATACCTAAAAGGGAAAAGAAAAGGTGCAAGGTAGTGAACATAAAATTTACAAAAGAAGAAATACAAGTGGCTACAGAATTTTTGAAAACCTACTCAAATCTGGTTTTAAAATCACAGGACAGCACTGGACATTTCCCCATCTCCCAGAAATCACCCCAAAGCAACAGGGGAATAAAAAACCAGACATGCTGAATCTATCTGATTAAAATAACAGACTTTTAAAACTCAGAACCACAAATAGGATGAAAAGCTGCCTAAAAACTGTAATAGGCAATAAAGACATAGGGAGGTGTGGAGCCTGCCTACACTGCAGACTTTACAGGAGAAGTGGGTAGAGCAGAGTTCTTCCTGTGGCACAGCATGAAGAGAAAAACAACAGGCATTCATTTGCCAGAGTGGGACTGAAGTACACAAGATGGTGACAGAGACTTCCCTGGATTTTCTTTCGTGGGAAACCTAAAAAATATAAGGCAATGTGACAAAACAAGGAATTATACAGAGAAGGCACACTTATCAGAGCAGTTTATAAATGAGGCAGTAGAGAAGAAGGATTTGTTACACTGTGAGTAGTCCTGCAGGATAGTTCTCAGTTTACTCAGAATTAGAGGCTAAAAATATTCAGTCATTCAAATACCATGTGCCATAAAAAGAAATCATTTTCTTTTTCCTGGAAACAGAACTATGGCCACATATCTAAATAAACATGAAATAAATAGTCTAGTCAGAATTCACCTCATTCATATATGACTAACAATCAAAAGGAAATCACAGAATTTAGAATTTTTAAAGGGTGTGGGAGTGAGAAAGAAATAAGAAAAAACAGATGACAGGGAAATAAAACTTACCAGAAAAAAAAGCCTATATTAAAAAGTTGAAAACTATACTGCCATGAAATTTAAGAATTAAAGATGTCTGTCTCTAACAGTATGACTGACTAGATAACTTGTCTGATCCTTTCATTAGAAACAACGAAATATGCTGAATAAAACATAGATATTTTTTCATAAGAATTAGTCAATGAACTAACAACAAAGTATGAAATTCCTAGACAGTGAAAACTAAGTGAAAGTGGGAATCCAGAAAGATAGGTGGGTCACTGAAGCTGGTTCTGCCTCCATTGAATCTGTAAAACAACTTCAGTTTTCAGTCTCTCAAGATGCAGGAGAAAAGAGAACAAGCTTGGAACTGCCATAATGTGGAGATCTTATAGAAGACAACCTCCCATTAACATGATACCTCAAATGGTGTGACATTAATATAGAAGTGAATTGGTAAAAATTCACCACTCACCCATTGGGAACAGCAAACTGAGGGAAAAAAAGTAAGTTTTCCTAAAGATTCCATAACTACAAAAACTCCTCAGATGGATTGGAAGCTCTAATTTGTCCTGTGTGTGGGGCCAAAAACCAAAACCAAAGACAAACAAACCAACCCTTAAGCTAGTGGTTCTTGAAATATTGCCCCTGAAGCTACTGTACCACATCACCTAAAAAGTTGTCAGACATGCCAAATTTGCACCCCTCGTCAGACCAAATGAATCAGACACTCGGGTTGGGGCTCAGGAATCTGTTTTTAACAACCCAGTCACTTGACTTTGGTGTATGCTAACATTTGAGAACTATTGCCTTAAACTAAGATTTTGTTTTAAGTTGCTGCTGGGTTGATACACTAAAAAGCACAAAACATTGCTAAGAGAAAGTAAACTCTGAATAAATGGAGAGACTTACCATTGATCATAAATTAGAAGACTCAACATCGTTAAGATGTTAACCTCCACAAATTGACCTGTAGAGACAATACACTCTCAGTCAAAATTCCAACATATTTTTCATGTAGATACTGATGTTCCGATCCTAAAAGTTTTTGGAAACACACAGAACCTAGTATATCCTAAACAATTTTCCAAGAGAAGGAAAGAGTAGGAGGACTTTTCTAACTGATATCAAGGCTCACTATAAAGTTCACCAAGACTGTATTTGATTGGCATCAGGATGAACATGTAGATCAGTGGAACTGAATAAGGGTCGGGAAATAAGCCCAAGTATATATGACCAACTGATACTTAACAGAGGTGCCAGGACAATCCAGTGGATAAAGAATAGTCCTTTAATAAATGGTACTGAAAACATCAGATAGACATATGTAAAAGTACCAGCTGTAACCCTTACCTCATACCACAGTAAAAAATTAAGTTAAAATGGATCATTGATCTAAATTTAAAACTTAGGAGTGCCAAGGTGGCTCAAATCATTAAGCGTCTGCTTTTGGCTTGGGTCATGATCTCCAGGTCCTGGGATTGAACCCTACATCAGCTCCCTGCTCAGTGGGGAGTATGCTTCTCTCTCTCTCTCTCTCTCTCTCTCCCACTCCCACTCCCTCTCCCTCTGTCCTTCCCACTGCTCATTCTCTCTCTCGAATAAATAAAATCTTTAAAAAAATAAATTTAAAACTTAAAATCACAAAACTTCTAGAATAAAACTGGAGAAAAATCTTTGTGAACTTATGTTATGAAAAGAGTTCTTAGGGGGTGGCTCAGTCGGTTAAGCATCCGGCTCTTGATTTCAGCTGAGGTCATGATATTAGAGTCATGATCTTAGGGTCATGAGATTGAGCCCTGTGTTGAGCCTCACATCGGGCTCTGCGTTCAGTGGGGAGTTTTCTTGAGATTTTCTCCCTCTCCTTCTGCCCCTCCTCCTGCTCATGTGCTCTCTCTCTAAAATAAATAAATAAATAAATAAAATCTTGAAAAAGAAAAGAGTTCTTAGGACACACGAAATAGAGGTTATAAAGAAAAATTCATGAATTGCACTTCATCAAAAGCAAAAACTTTTACTCTTTAAAAGATACCATTAATATCCAAGATCTATAAAGAACTTATCAAACTCAACACCCCAAAAGCAAATAATCCAGTCAAGAAATGGGCAGAAGACATGAACAGACACTTCTCCAAAGAAGACATACACATGGCCAACAGACACATGAAAAAATGCTCCACATCACTCGCCATAAGGGAAATACAAATCAAAACCACAATGAGATACCACCTTACACCAGTTAGAATGGCAAAAATTAAGACAGGGAACAACAAATATTGGCGAGGATGTAGAGAAAGGGGAACCCTCCTACACCGCTGGTGGGAATGCAAGCTGGTACAGCCACTCTGGAAAACAGTATGGAGGTTCCTCAAGAAGTTAAAAACAGAGCTACCCTACGACCCAGTGATTGCACTACTAGGTATTTACCCCAAAGATACAGATGTAGTGAAAAGAAGGGGCACATGCACCCCAATGTTCATAGCAGCAGTGTCCACAATAGCCAAACTGTGGAAGGAGCTGAGATGTCCTTCAACAGATGAAGGGATAAAGAAGATGTGGTTCATATATACAATGGAATATTACTCAGCCATTAGAAAGGTTGAATACCCACTATTTACATCCACATAGGTGGAATTGGAGGGTATTATGCTAAGTGAATTAAGTCAAGCAGAGAAAGACAGTTATCATATGGTTTCACTCACATGGGGAATATAAGGAACAGTGCAGAAGATCATAGGGGAAGGAAGGGAAAACTGGGAAGAAATCAGAGAGGGAGACAAATCGTGAGAAACTCTTGACCCCTGGAAACAAACTGAGGGTTGTGGAAAGGGAGGTGTGTGGGGGGATGGAGTAACTGGGTGATGGGCGTTAAAATGGAGGGCACGTGATGTGATGAGCACTGGGTGTTATATGCAACTAAAGAATCAGTGAACACTACGACAAAAACTTATGATGTACTATATGTTGGCTAACTGAATTTAAATTTAAAAAAATAAAATTGTTAGAGTGGTATTATTTCAATACTCAATAAAAACACCACTTCAAAATTTAAAAAAAATAAATAAAAGATACCATTAAGTAAATAAAAGGTTAAACCAGAGATTGAGAGAAAACTCATCAAATTATACATTTAAAATTAATACATTTTCTTATAAATTCATGAATTTATATATTCTTAAACACTTAAAATTGATGAATGTTATTATTTACCAATAAAGTTTATTTTAAAAAATTAAGTATTTAAAGTAAAATATAAGATCAATTATAAATGTTTATGCAGTAAACCCCAGAGCACCTAATATATGAGGCAAACATTGACAGAATTGAAGGGATAAAATAGCAACAAAATAATAGGGAGATACTTCAGTACTCCGCTTTTAATAATGGATAGAACAACAGACAGATGAGGGATGCCTGGGTGGTGGAGTTGGTTAAGTATCCAACTCTAGGTTTCGGCTCAGGTTGTGATCTCAGGGTCATCAGATTGAGCTCTGCGTCAGGCTCCTCACTCAGTGTGGAGTCTGCTTAAGACTCTCTCTCCCTCTCCCTCTGCTCCTCCCCCCATGCTCTCTCTCTCTCTCTCTCTCTCTCTCTCTCATAAATAAATTAAAATAAAAGAACAACAGACAGATGATCAATGAGGAAATCGAGGACTTGAACAATACTGTAGACTAATTGGATCTGACAGACATGCACACATATTTTACCTAATAACAGCCAAATATACTTTCTTCTCAGCTGTACGTGATACATTCTATCAAGCCACAAAAGACACTGAAGAATCTTAAATGCATATTAGTAAGTGAAAGAAGCCAATCTGAAAAAGGCTACATACTGTATTATTTCAACTATATGACAATGGGGAATTAGTAGGGAAAGGGCTTCCATCTTTTAATTCATACATTTCAGTAATTCTTGAAGTTTATACAATTACAGTTGCACAATATTTCTCTATCACTTTTGCAATTATAAATGTATATCTGGAAAAAATTAAGTCATCTATGCTCAGTGTAAACCACTGCAAAGTATAAGGAAGTATAAATAAAAATGAATGAGTTTTATCATTATTCCTCTCTTCCGTCCTAAAATAACCACTTTAAATACTCAGGCATCTTTCTTCCCAGTGTTCTATGTACTACATCTGTTTATGTTTATTTGTGTGCCTATTTATACATTGAGGATATAATGTATTTGCAACTTTGTATCTGTCTTTTTCACTGACATAATGTTATATAACTGTATCTCCAAACTTTAAGGATTCTGAAAAAAAACTCTACCATTTTAAAAATAACACTATCCTGTTGATATGTTTTTATTTATTTAATCATTCCCTTATACTTAGGCATTTGAGATGTTTGTTTTGTTTGTTATCAGAACTAATTTTTTTAGGAAAAATTTCTAGTAGAAGAATACTGGGACAAAGAAATGAGCATTTTTAAAGCTTTTGTTTCATATTACCAAATTGCCTCCCAAAAAAGTTGTACCAATTTATGCTTTCATGAGCATTACATGAGAATGCCCATCTTAACATACCCCTTTGCAAACTCTTAAACATTTCTGAAGTCTTTCACATATGGAAGTCATGGCTTGCAAATGGACAGTGGAAGAGAAAACAGAGGGTAGCTTCATTTCACGTGAAAGATCTTGTGGCTTTAACCTGTTAGCATTAAAATAACAATTACCATGTTCCTTTTATCACCAGGATTATCTCGATGATGTATCTTAAATCAGAGGACATTCAAGAGCCAGGTATGACTAGCTGGAGTTTTGAAATTTTGTTTTAGGATTCCTGGGAACATTTTTCTTGCCTATAACCTGGTTTTATTTGGTCTTAAGTGTCAATGCTAATGTTCCGGGTTGCATTTACTTTCCCACAAATAATAAAATAGATTTAAAAGGTTGTCAAATAGCAATAATCTCACTCCTACTTGAATACTTGTCAATGAAGAAAGTAGCATTAGTTACTACGACATAAAATCAGCAGGACAAGAGATGGTCCATGTTGAAACACTGGACACAGCAAGCTAGCTTTTGGCTTGGTTTAGGGTTATATTTCTCACTTTATGAGCATATTGAAGGAAGCTTCACAATGAGGTAAAGACCAGGGAATCATCTGCTATGGAGAAATGAAGGAGTCCTTTGAGGTCAGCCCAACAAAAAGTCAGGCTGCATTGTTTAAAGATGGTACAAGAGTTTCACGTTAGATAAAATTCTTAGTTTAACCCCAAAGAGTTGGAATCAATGAACCACTGAAATTCTCACCCTCTAAACGTAGACATGAAAATACCACTGGGCATCTGCCTGCTCATCTCCATGGAGATTTTTTGATTCACATCTGGTTACAGTCAGGCTTTTACATCAAGAGCTTGAACACTCATTTTCTAATGTCAGTCACATTTCATGGCTAACTTCCAGGTGCTTAAACATTTTGTTTCTGTATTTTTCCCTTTATTTCCCTTTTAGATTATAAGCTTTTATATGCATAAAAAGTGACATGATGATTCAGATCTGCATCAGTTTTTTTTTAATCTAATTTTGCATGTGAATTTGTGGTGTGTGTGTGGCAGGGTTGCACTATTTGCAGGAAAATGAAAGCTATCTGTTGGTAACACCAAATGCTTAGATTATTTTGGTCTTCCCTTACAAAGAGATTCTTCGTTATGCTTATTTTGCATGGACAGAACATTTGTTTGCCCTCTGCCTAGTGGTGCAGGCAATATCCTTTAAAAACAAAAACAAAAACCAACAAAGGGCCCTATACTAAATTTGTTTCTTTTTGCTTGTTGAAGACTATCATATAGGAATGTTCCCTTACTCTCTCATTAGAGAAATACTTTGGTTAACAATTTGGTAAGCACTGCCAGGTTGGGGAGTAAAAGGGGTGAGAAACAATTTAAAAGGAGGCTCTGTCTGTAGGTGGTTTCTTTGTGAATAGGTTTCTTTGTAAGTAGGCAGGTAGGTGCTATTCAC